GAATCTATAGTGTCAAAACTGTTCTGACCTGTTGGGGTCTTTCTGAATTCTTTGCAATAGAAGAATTGCTCTAGAATTTTTCTGTAGTAAAAATAAAAAGAAGTGAAGTCTCAGAGCTGGCATTTTCTGAGAGAAGCCTTGAGTCTAAAAAGGTGGAGAACCACTGACTTGCAAAGAAGTATCCTGGGGACATGTACCTTCACCAAGATTTACCTGTGGACAGGAGAAAGAAAGCATTTTAAGGGAAGACTAGCTGAAAAGAAACATTAGGCACAGCCGTACTAGTTATTCTGAGTATTAGTGGGAGCTGTGGGATATCTCCCCCTTTTGGACCAGGGATAAATCCAACCTATGCTGGTAACTGCTGGCCACTCAAAGTCATTCTAGTTATCTAACCACTATTAGGATGGCCTGTAGTAATAGATGCCAGTTCACTTTCAGAGCTCTTCCAGGGTGGGGGGGCGTGGGGGGGGTGTCTATGTATGAGAGAGAGAGACAGCCCTTTTGGAAGTAAAACTAAGTTACTTTGCTATTTGAGAGACAAAGAAAAGTCAGAGTAGATGAGGTAATATATGCAGAATAGTAGGCACTTAATCATGGCCCAATGAAAAGATTAAGAATATGAATGAAAATAACGGGGTTTGTGAATAAGAATATGCTTCTGGGAAGGAAAAGGCACTAGTCTGAGATCCATTTTCAGTCTTCTACCAAGCCCATGACAATGAGTGACCAGTTGCTGCGCTGTGACCATTTCATATTGTACTGATCAGATTAATCTCACCATTACTTTAAGCTAATCCTGTCATTGTGTTGTATCCACCTAGTGTCTCCTAGACTACAGCCCAGATACTGCTTATCTTTATGATCAGATCTGTTGAAATCAACTGATCAAGTGTTGCTATATAACAGCCAGGTATTATTAATGTTACAGGTGTTTGCACAATGCTAAGTGGGATGAAGCCCAACCTTTGCTTAGGCCTTTTGGCACAACTGTACAGTAATACAATTTTGAGTTCCAGTAATAATAGTGTTTTTGTCATTTGACTAATGGGGCATTTTTATGTTAATTCACCATAGATTTCCCTTATTTATTCGATATTCCTTGTTGTTTCTTTCAATTTTGTAGAAAATACCAGGCCCAGGAGCTTATGAGCCCACAAGACACTTTCCACAGCAACCACGGACTATTGAGAGCCTAGGTAAAGAGCACAGCATCTTCTTCAGCAACACACTTGGGTTTTAGAATAAAAACAGTCAACATACCAAATTCCAAAAAGTGGATTCTGAGTGAAAAAACAATCTTCTCCCCCTATTCCCAGTCTACTTTTCATCATCACCCAGCTGCATATGTACATGAAACCCATGCCATTAGAAACTCAGCATTTGCCAGCAGTTGTTACATTTATTTCCTACTCTCCGTTGGAAAAAAACCCATATTTATTATCATCAAGTATTGACTGTTGAACAGATACTGCTGCAAGTACTACTGATAGAACTCACATTGGTAACGTTATACAACATCAAATATTATTAAGCACAAGCAATTGGAAAGAAAGATGAGAAGAGATAAGAGGAACAGAGGGGTAAGTGTCTGAGGCTGCAAACAAATGTCGCATTTTAACCTGGGAGAAACCATTTTATCCCAGGATGAAATGCGGTTGTTCAGATGTCCATGCCCATTGTCCCTGGATAAATCCTAAAAAAATGTTTCCCAGCTAAAAGGTAGTAAATGTTTACCTAAGGATATTGCAAAGTACATCTGTACAGTTATCCTGGGATTGCTTCATTGAATCAATGGCAGAAGAGTGGTAGTGAATTCAGCTTATCACGAAACCCTGATTAGAAAGGTAATGTGTGTACATACCAATCCAAGAATATTTTCGTTCCGAGACAAACACAGGCACAGCTTATCCAGGGGCAAATGCAACATCTGTTCCTAGCCTGAGAGGGCAGCTGGAAGTGACTGAGGGTGTGCCTATTTGTGAAAATAAGCATGACTAAATTTAATGCACATTAAGCTAATGCACATTAAGTGATTTTTTTGGCAGGTGTCTACACATGCCAAGACTTGGAACTAAACTTAGTCCTCAATCCCTCCCATGCTGCCATGCGCGGGAGCTCCAGCCTCCAGCCACATGGCTGCTGGCACTTGCCATTCATGTTGAAGCCTGACCCAGCTACCAACACTTGGCAGCCCTCTTGGAAACTCTGATCCCTGGCCAGCCTCTTCCCTGTGCAGGGGCAGCACACGCCAGCTGCCCCTGCCAGTGCCCCCAGCAGGCACCCCCCACCCAGGCCTGAGGACAGCACACCCCCACCAGCAGGGGCCATGGAACTGGCTGAGGGAGGCCCTGGCCAACCCCCCCACCCTTACACACCCTGCTTCATCCTACCTGCCCTGCCACCCACGCATCCCCTACCTCCTTCCCACCCCCAGCACATAAACATGGGTGAAACAAAAAGCTTTATTACCCTCACAACACCTACCTGCATCCCTCCCCACTCAACAGACAGAGCTCCCTCCTCCTTCCCTCCCCAAGCACAATGCCCCTCCACTCCCCTCCCCACCCACCACCAATAAAAAATCTACTTCCCAAAGTGGAAACTATTTACATCAGTCAGTCTTTTGGTCCCAGAGTGGGGGGGGCATGGAGTGGGGGGGGCTAGTGGGCCACCAGGCCAAGGAGGGTGTCCAGAGCCTAGTGGTCAGTGTCTGTGGCCTCCAATGCCCAGGCCTGGAGGCGCACCTGCTGCTGGACCAGCTCAATGCGGTCCTGCTTGTGGGCCTCCAGATGTGCCCAGTGCCTCTCCCAGGTAATGTCTTCCCACCACCAGGCCAGCTGGCATTGACAACAACATCTTCCTTAGGTGTGAGAAGCCCATGCCCGTCCAGCTCTGGGAACACAGGCTGTGCAGTGTTCTGCCTGAACTGTTGTCCTGCCTCTCTGCGTACTGTGGGGAAGGAACCCAGTCCAGGGGAGTGGGGGTGGGCCAGGTGGGCAGGAGAGGCAGGGAGTAGGGGCTGGGGCTGGGGCTGGGGCTGGGGTCGGGACCAGGGGCAGGGGTGGGGACTGGGAGAGCCCTGCCCCCCAGTGCGAGGATAGTGGCTCAGCATGGGCCTCCCTGTCAGCAATGGCAACCGGCTATGCCCAGTGTCCTTGGCCTGTGGTGTGCGGCAGGCTGGCACCCAGCTAGGGGGCCCTCTCCAGACAGGAACTGTTGCTGGTGGTGGCTGGTGGTATCATGGCTGGCCGCCCCTCATGGCGGG